TAGGCTGGGAGGAAAGTGAGGTCAAGACTGGGTAGGGTATGATGTATGGTAGCAAATTGATTGTTAATTGTCTCAGCCTCCTCCTCACTAGGTAAATGAGAGATAAAAGGAAATGTGGGAGACTGATGGTTAAGACCACAGAGATCTTTTACCTAAGAGTACCACTGACCGATGCCGACCTCCTTGAGGCCGTGCACTTTCCTGGGATAATAAGACTTCTTGGCTGACTTGATTTCCCTGATGACTTGGTAACATAAACTTTTGTAAAGGCGGTTGTTGGTGTAGTATGCCTTGTTGCGCTGCTCAATTAGTCTTTTGATACGGGGTGTAATCCACGGGACATCATCAGGGTGGATCCTCAGTGTCTTGGCTGGAAAGTAGTGGTGATAGGCTCTGGTGATAGTGTCCAGGTAATTATCCCACTTGTTCTGCACTTCGTTTACTGTGATCACTTCAGTCCAGGGTCACCCATTGTCCGAAACGCCGCATGGCAGAGTTAGGGGTAGGTCGGTAAGTCCTGGTGACAACTGGCTGTCGTGTGATGGTAGATGTAGGTGACCACAGCAGGGACAGGTGGGTGCATCGCCCTGTGGGAGGCAGCGGCTGGGGGAGGTGGTTGCCGAGATCAGTCATGATGAGGTCCAGGGTGGCATTCCAATGTGCAGGAAAGTCAACTATCTGTGCAAGATAGAGGTGTTAGGTGATGTTGCTGATGTCTAACTCATTAAAGTCACCGCATATCACTAGCTTAGCACATGCTAATCTGGATCTCAGGGAGTCAGCAGTGTCAATTATATGAGTAACCAGTACATTAGCGGTATTGCGAGCGCGGGAGGGGGGGTGATAAGCCACACAAACAATGAGGGAGGCAAGCTGGTGGGAGGTGGGAGGTGGGAGTGACCTTAACCCACAAAGCTTCTACATCCTCAGATACATTAACACCAAGGTGTGATGGTTTAAGGTCACGGCGACAGTACAGCACTACACCACCACCTCTCCTGTCCTTTCTAAGGTGGTGAAATAACTCATAGTTTTCTATGGCACAGATCTCAGGAACAATTTGCCATGCCTCTGTTGTCGCCACAATACCTGCACCAACTGACTTCACTGTAACACTGACCTCCACCTTATTGCATAAAGATGTAACATTGGACAGCAATTGGGATGGTAGGCTGTACCATAGTCGCGTGTGTGTGTGTGTGTGTGTATGTGTGTGTCTTAGTGTGGGAGGAAACAACATAGGAAAGGTTAGGAGTGAGGAACTTTTCAAGAGGTATAGGGGAGCGCTTGGGAAGGTTATAGATAGGGGAGGGATCCCGATAGTATGTGGTTGGTCGTGAATGGCTGTCCAGGGCAATTGCTATAAATTGCCTACTGGAAAAACATTGTGCAAACAATGGTTGGGCATTTATTGATAACTGGCAACCATTCTATGGCAACGACTACCTGTACAGTCGTGACGGAGTACACTTGTCTCGCCCGGGGGTAAAGACGTTGTCTGCATCCCTGGAGTGTGAAATTGTCACTCCAAAGGGGGGGGGGGAGGTTCGAGTAAAAATAAAGCAGGTACTGGGGAGTAAAAGTGGTTACTCAGGACAGGGGGTAAAACAGGACCAGGGAAGGGTAGGTTTAAATGTATACTATACAAACAGTAGGAGCGTTAGAAATAAAATAGACTTGCTGAGAGCGGTTGTATATACCGAGAATGTAGAAGTCATAGCAATCACCGAAACTTGGATGAATCTGGCGAGCAAAATTTTTTTATCAGAGTGCCACATAGAAGGGTACAACCTTTTTCACAAGGACAGGGAAGGTAGGAAGGGGGGAGGGGTCGCACTCTTCGTCAGGGACACATTAAAATGTTGTATTAATAAATCAATAAAGGGTGAAATAGGAACCCAGTCTGTATGGGTAGAAATTACGGAAGGAAGATAAAAAAATAATTATGGGAGTGATTTACAGGCCCCAAGTCTTGGGAAAGAAGCAGCTCAGCCCATATGGCAGGAAATGAGTAGGGCAGCAAAATATAACAACCTGTGCATTATGGGGGATTTCAACTTCAGAAATATTGACTGGGACAACATTGTAGGTGACTATGAATCTGAAGACTTCCTAGACGCAGTACAGGACAATTTTTTGAAACAACTAATTACAGAACCTACTAGAGGTGACAATATACAGTATTAGACCTAGTATTAACAAATAAAGAAAATATTATCAGAGATATCACAATAGGGGAAGAACTAGGTAACAGTGATCACAGAGAAATCAGGTTCACCCTAAATTGGGAAACGAAAAACAATGGCAATATGGTCAGAGTCCCAAACTTTCGATTGGCGGATTATCAGGGGTTAAGAAGGTACCTAGGTGAGGTCACCTGGGAACAGTCAGGTCAGTCCCCGGCAGGAACAGGTGAGGTCACAGGCAACACAACAATTGATCATGACTATAATATATTCACTAGTATACTACATAAAGCACAAGAACAAAATATACCATAGAGAAAAATTAGGTCAAAAAAGAATGAGCCAAGGTGGATGACCAGAAAACTTAAACATGACAGGAATAAAGAAAGGAATTTATAAGAAATTAAAGGGAGGGGAGGAGCAGCTCAGAAATAGGTATAATGAACTATCTAGGAATGTTAAGAAAAATGTAAGGAAAGCAAAGAGGGACGACGAAATCAGGATAGCAAGAGAATCCAAGGCGAATCCCAAGGGATTTTTCTAGGTATATAGGACAAAGGTCAAGGATAAAGTTGGGCCTTTAAAGTTAGGGAGGGGGGAAGTGATCGATGACAGTGAAGAAATAAGCAAAGCATTGAACAGCTACTTTTTATCAGTTTTCACAGAAGAAATTCACAAAGAAATTCCAGAGGTGGAACTAATATTTAGGGGAAAGGAAGACGAGAAATTAAAGAATATGACTATCAGAAAAGAGGATGTTCTTAAGAGGATAAATAAATTAAAGAAGACAAAATCCCCAGGGCCGAATGAAATTTTCCCTCGAGTCTTGAAAGAGTGTAGGGAACACATTAGCAGACCCCTCGTAAATTTATTTACAAAATCATTAGACACTGGAGTTGTGCCAGGCAAATGTAGTACCCATATTCAAAAAGGGAGACAGAGCATCAGCGTCAAATTACCGGCCGATCAGTTTTAGGTCAGTAGTGGGGAAATTTCTTGAATCAATTATAGCAAGTAGCATCTGATCGCATTTAGAGAAAAGCAAATTAATCTACGACTCTCAACATGGGTTTACAAAGGGAAAATCTTGTCTAACAAATCTGCTGACGTTTTTTAGGAAAGTCTTCAAGGTAGTAGATAATGACGAAAATTACGATGTTATTTACTTAGACTTTAGCTAAGCATTTGACAGAGTACCGCATCAGAGGCTTCTGAGAAAAGTTAAGGCTCATGGTATCGAGGGGAAGTTTTAAATTGGATAAAATCATGGCTCACCGATAGAACGCAGAGGGTCAGCATAGATGGTGTTAAATCTGAGTGGGGCTGTGTAACCAGTGGGGTTCCCCAGGAGTCAGTACTAGGCCCACTTTTGTTCATAATCTACATAAACGATCTAGATACTGGGATCAGCAGTGACATAAGCAAGTTTGCGGATGACACCAAAATAGGGGGGCAGATTAATTCAGGGCAGGATGCAAATGCACTACAGGAGGATTTAAATAAACTGCAGGAATGGTCAGAAAAATGGCAAATGAAATTCAACACCAGCAAGTGCAGCGTACTTAATATTGGAAGAACAAATACTGTCGACTTGTGAAAGAGACTTTGGGGTACTTGTAAGCCCAAACCTACGGCCTAGAAAACAGTGCGTTAATGTTCGAAATAAGGCAAACAGAGTATTAGGTTTTATATCTAGAAGTGTAAGTAATAAGAGTGCAGAGGTCTTATTGCAACTATATCTTGCGCTAGTCAGGCCGCACCTCGATTATGCGGTTCAGTTCTGGTGCTCCTATTATAGAATGGATATCAATTCACTGGAGTCGGTGCAGCGAAGAATGACGAAAAGGATTCCGGGACTTAGAAATCTTTCATATCAAAATAGGATAAAGAAACTTAACTTGCATTCCCCAGAAAGACGAAGAGTGCGGGGAGATATGATAAAAGTATTTAAGTGGGTGAAAGGAATCAATAAAGGGGTTATAGATAAAGTTCTTATAATATCCGAGCAGGATGGGACTCGTAGCAACGGATTTAAGTTGGATAAGTTTAGGTTTTGGAGGGAGATAGGAAGGAACTGGTTCACAAATAGGGTGGTGGACGAGTGGAACAAGCTTAGTAACTTTGTAGTAAGTGCTGGAACGTTGGAAAGTTTTAAAAGGAGGCTAGATAGATTCATGGATGATAGAGAGTGGTAGTAACTCTCGACAGGAGCTGCCATGCACAGGCCAACCGGCCTATTGCAGGCTCCTTATGTTCTTCTTATGTTCTTATGTGTGTGTGTGTGTGTGTGTGTGTGTGTGAAGACGAAGGAATATGTGTGTGCTTGTGTGTGTGTGTGCGGGTAGGGGGAATATTTATTTAGTAAGGGTGTGTGTGTCATCTTTTCTTTTGATTCCCTGTAATACATAATTTCGTTTTATTTCGGGAGAGTAATAGTGTTATCGTTCCGCTACATTGTTTCTCTAAACTCGCGCTTTAAATCAGACTAAATTTACACCCAGGCCAGTCTATTGCTTATGACCTGTGGGTTGACACTGTCACCTCGCACCACAGTCAACAAAACTAATTATTCCTGTCATTAAGTGAGCAAATTATTCTCACAGTAATACGCAGTAACCCTAAGCTGACCCAAGTAATTCATCATCAAGAAATGATTAACATAATAAAACATTTTACTACGAAATATTTACAAAAGAACTGAGAAAAAGTTTAGATGTTATCAGTGTCAGACTTACCAAGAAAGTCAATATAATTATCTTATTTCTTTTTTCTTTTTTTCACCCTACATAACTGCATTGTGTTGTGTCTTTACAGGAGTGTGTGGCCGCGCCGGAGCTGACAAAACCACTCAACACCGTACATCATCCTCACCACTCTGTCCGGTGAAGGTGAGGTCAAGCCAGACACAGTGCCCCTTCCCTCCCCCCTCACGCACTGTAGTGGAGGGGTAGGGTGGCCTCCCGACAGTACCCCCCACACAGTGTATGTATGGGATGGGGAAGTCTAGCTGAAGTCCTTGTCTTCTCACACAGTCTGATGGCGTGGCGGGGCAGACTCATATGGGTATACCTTCCCCCGCACCGTATGGGGGAGGGAGTGTTGGGGCGGGCAAGGCATGGTACACAACCCCCCCACACAGTATGGTAGTGGGGCAGTACATGGTACACCCCCACACAGTGTTGTGGTGGGGCAGTACATGGTAAACCCACACACAGTGTTGTGGTGGAGCAGTACATGGTACACCCCCACACAGTGTTGTGGTGGGGCAGTACATGGTAACACCCCCACACAGTGTTGTGGTGGAGCAGTACATGGTACACCCAGACACAGTGTTGTGGTGGAGCAGTACATGGTACACCCCCACACAGTGTTGTGGTGGGGCAGTACATGGTACACCCCCACACAGTGTTGTGGTGGGCAGTGTGTGCACCCACAGTGTTGTGGTGGAGCAGCACATAGTACACCCACACAGTGTTGTGGTGGGGCAGTACATGGTACACCCCCCACACCAGTGTTGTGGTGGGGCACAGTGGGGCAGTACATGGCACACACCCCACACAGTGTTGTGGTGGAGCAGTACATGGTACACCCCCACACAGTGTTGTGGTGGGGCAGTACATGGTACACCCCCGCACAGTGTTGTGGTGGAGCAGTACATGGTACACCCCCACACAGTGTTGTGGTGGTGCAGTACGTGGTACACCCCCGCGCAGTGTGGGGTTGGGACAGGACATGGTACACCCCCACACAGTGTGGGGGTGGGGCAGGGCATGGTACACCCCCGCACTGTGTGGGGGTGGGACAGGACATGGTACACCCCCACACAGTGTGGTGATGGGACAGGAAATGGTACACCCCCACACAGTGTGGGGGTGGGCCAGGACATGGTACACCTCCACATACTAACCCTCCGCCATGATGCGCCTTATATAATCTTCACTCACCCTCCCCTACCTGTAGTCTGTTGTATCAACTCTTAACTTGTGTTCACACTCTTTCCCTGTACAGGTATTTGATATTCCATCATTTCTTACGATCATTACTTCACATCTTGCATCACCTTCCTTACTTTCTTAGTTTTACTCCCTGGTTCCCACCTTCACTCCCTTGTTCCTACCTTCACTCCCAGGTTCCTACCATCACTCCCTTGTTCCTACCTTCACTCCCTGGGTCCTACCTTCACTTCCTTGTTACTACCTTCACCCCCAGATTCCTACCTTCACTCCCTGGTTCCTATCTTCACTTTCTTGTTCCTGCCTTCACTTCCTTGCTCCTACCTCCACTTTCTTGTTCCTAACTTCATTTCCTGGTTCCTACCTTCACTTCTTGTTCCTACCTTCACTTCCTTGTTCCTACCTTCACTCCCTGGATCCTAACTTCACTTCCTTGTTCTTACCTTCACTCCCTGGTTCCTACCTTCACTTTCTTGTTCCTACCTTCACTTCCTTGCTCCTACCTTCACTCCCTGGTTCCTACCTTCACTTCCTTGTTCCTACCTTCACTTTCTTGTTCCTACCTTTACTTCCTGGTTCCTACCTTCACTTCTTGTTCCTACCTTCACTTCCTTGTTCCTACCTTCACTCCCTGGTTCCTACCTTCACTTCCTTGCTTCCACCTTCACTCCTTTGTTGCTACCTTCATTCTGTGGTTCCTACTCTCACTCCCTGGTTCCTACCTTCACTTTATTGTTCCTACCTTCACTTCCTTGTTTCTATCTTCACTCCCTTGTTCCTACCTTCACTTCCTTGTTCCTACCTTCACTTTCTTGTTCCTACCTTCACTTCCTTGTTCCTATCTTCATTCTCTGGTTCGTACCTTCACTTCCTTGTTCCTACCTTCACTTTCTTGTTCCTACCTTCACTCCCTTGTTCCTACCTTCACTCCCTGGTTCCTACCCTCACTTCCTGGTTCCTATCTTCACTTTCTTGTTCCTTCCTTCACTTCCTGGTTCCTACCTTCACTTCTTGTTCTTATCTTCCCCTACCTTCACTTTCTTGTTCCTACATTCACTTTCTTGCTCTACCTTCACTTCTTGTTTCCTACCTTCACTTTCTTGTTCCTACCTTCACTTCTTGTTTCCTTCACTTCCTGGTTTCTACCTTCACTTCATGTTCCTACCTTCACTTTCTTGTTCCTACCTTCACTTTATTGTTCCTACCTTCACTTTCTTGTTGCTACCTTCACTTCTTGTTCCTACCTTTACTTCCTGGTTCCTACCTTCACTTCCTGGTTCCTACCTCCCCTTTCTTGTTCCTACCTTCACTTTCTTGTTCCTACCTTCACTTCTTGTTCCTACCTTCACTTCCTGGTTCCTACCTTCATTTCCTGGTTCCTACCTTCACTTTCTTGTTCCTACCTTCACTTTCTTGTGCCTACATTCACTTTCTTGTTCATACCTTCACTTTTTGTTCCTACCTTCACTTTCTTGTTCCTACCTTCACTTCTTGTTCCTGATTTCACTTTCTTGCTCCTACCTTCACTTTCTTGTTCCTGCCTTCACTTCCTGGTTCCTACCTTCACTTCTTGTTCCTACCTTCACTTCTTGTTCCTACCTTCATTTCCTGGTTCCTACCTTCACTTTCTTGTTCCTACCTTCACTTTCTTGTTCCTACATTCACTTTCTTGTTCATACCTTCACTTTTTGTTCCTACCTTCACTTCTTGTTCCTACCTTCACTTCATGTTCCTACCTTCACTTTCTTGTTCCTACATTCACTTTCTTGTTCATACCTTCACTTTTTGTTCCTACCTTCACTTTCTTGTTCCTACCTTCACTTCTTGTTCTACCTTCACTTCCTGGTTCCTACCTTCACTTCCTGGTTCCTACCTCCCCTTTCTTGTTCCTACCTTCACTTCCTTGCTCCTACCTCCACTTTCTTGTTCCAACCTTCACTTCTTTTTCCTACCTTCACTTCTTGTTCCTACCTTCACTTTCTTGTTCCTACCTTCACGTCTTGTTCCTACCTTCACTTTCTTGTTCATACCTTCACTTCTTGTTCCTACCTTCACTTCTTGTCACTACTTTCACTTCCTGTTCCTACCTTCACTTCTTGTCACTACATTCTCTTATTGTTCCTACCTTAACTTTCTTGCTCCTACCGTCACTTTCTTGTTCCTACCTTCACTTTCTTGCTCCTACCTTCACTTCTTGTTACTACCTTCACTTTCTTGTTCCTACCTTCACTTCTTGTCCCTACCTTCACTTCTTGTTCCTACCTTCACTATCTGGTTCTTAGGTTTCCGTAAAACATTTTGTATACAGTAATACTGTAACTTGACTTTCAATGACTCTGTATTAATTGATTGTTCTAATTCTGCATGCAAGGACAAGTGATTCTCTCTCTCTCTCTCTCTCTCTCTCTCTCTCTCTCTGTAATGTAAATGAAATTTCTTGTATATGTCACTTTAATGTACTCAACCATAATCACAAACGCAGGAAATGTTGTCGTACAGGAAAGCATCATTTAGAAGTAATTCCAATTCAATACAACCAACCATGTATGGGGACTATTATTTTAATCACCTCCAATGTACAGTTTTATTACTGGCGTCTTTTTTATATAATATATCAATAAATGTTGATACCTGGTGACTTAGGGAAGCTTCTCTGCTAAATTAGACTGTACCTGGCGTGTTGTGACCACCCACCGGCATCAGCTTCTATCAGTCATATCCAGGAGGCATTCATTGTTACGTGTTGATCACAGGTTCATATGTTAGTTTACAAGTAGAATTTCATTACCCGTTAACGAATACGGAAATGAGATTGGACAGACCTACCTGACAAGACACACAGTACTTTTGTAACAGACGGCCCAACTCAATCTATTTTTATATATGGTTGTAAAATAGACCAAGGTGTATCAGTCAGGTGTGTGTGTGTGTGTATGTGTGTGTGTGTGTTTAGTTTAAATAGTTTGTGTTCATTTAAGAAATATGTATAATACAAAATAAATATCTATATATGAATTTTTATTATCCTCTTAAAATATTCCTTAATACATACTGAGAATAATATATCGCACGACACTGATGTTAAGTATGAGGCCAACAGGCGTGCGTGTTGTGTTGTGTTGTGTTGTGTTGTGTTTGTCTTTGCGTGCTGCTTCTCCAACACAGTAAGTTTTACCTGCTGGCCACCCTACTCAACAACACTTACCCCCACCAGGAGTAAAAGATCTGAGGCAGGGAGCGTCATATGTAATCACGGAGAGATACACGGGCCCAGGGACCCCTATATAGCGCTTTAAGCTGGAAAACTTTATTGTGAGAGCGACAGTAAGCCTTAACAGTAATCTCCTCTAAGTCAGCCAAGTAGGCCGTTTTGCTCATGTAGAAGGCAGGAAGCTCTTAATCTAGGATGAAAGCCTGACATTTCCAGAGATATATACTGGAATTTTCAGGAGCTTTGTTGATATGGAACATCCAACCATTTTCCAACAGTTTTTGTCATCTTCAGGATACTGGAAAACAAAGGCACTGGCAGAGAGACAAAGGCTCATAAAAATCTCAGCGATGCTATTTTCTGTATATATATATATATATATATATATATATATATATATATATATATATATATATATATATATATATATATATATATATATATATATATATATATATAGTTCTTCCCTTATTCATAGTCACATTTCCTTTAATTGTCGTAACAAATATTATGAAGACTGAAGATATCCTTTTGGTTCACCTCTCCGCCCCTCACATCACCCATCACCAACACGACCATCCCCAACACCGCTTAAGTACCTGCTTTCTGGTCATTTATATACTCACTGCTCCTTGAATGTTCATTCCCCGAACCTTGAATGTCATTCTTGGTCTTCCTCTCTCACTCTTACTAACAATCTCGGAATCAACTGTTCGCTAATTTTATCAATCTTTCCGTTCCTGTTCTGTCAGCAAATTCTTATCAGTTCTCTAACAGACTTCTTCCACTTCCACATATTCATTTTATTTTTATTTATTGTTCCCGCATCCTTCATAATGCTCCTATAAAAATCGTTCACACTTCACACGCGAACGATGTTATTTTCTCCATTATTCTTCCTGTATATACTGCCATTACGTATATATTTATCAGTGAATCTATTATTTTCTGCTCCCCAAATATCTGGTGATGCCATTGGTTATTTAATATTCCATTCACTGATATATTTACTAACACGTATCTGAAACACCTCATTTCTTTCATTCTGTCTCAATCTACACAAACATTTATTTCTGTCTCCCCCTTCCTTAGTTATGGTGCTTTCATCAATTTACTTATTTTCGCATTTGCTACTAATTTCCTATTAGAATACCATCTTCAAAACTCATACAGAAATATTTGTATCTTCTCTTTAAAATTACCCACTAAGGACGTTATTCAGCTTTCATTTCTTCATTCATTCATTAT